CTGGCAACCACAGGTTCAGTGCAGACCAGGACAAACAGCGCAGACCCACTGCAACCTCCTAGCTGAAAGCTTTCAGTCCCAGCAGGTTTTGATGCACTACAAAATGATGCAGCGTGTCCCCTGTACCACACACACACACACACACACACACACCCCTTTTGAGACTTAGCATTCTGTGGGTCTAGTCTTCCTGTCTCAGAAATCACTAAGAAAAGGTGTGGGTCTTCCTCTCTCAACCTAAGGCAATGCCATCGGAGTAAACAAAGGTCGTGCATCATATAAGAATGCCCCAGAATAACTTCTTCTTCCCAACCTTTTTGGTGCAACAGGAGGATGGGATCTCTCCACACTAACAAGTGCATATTTTAAGAGGGGGGTTCAGAAAGCCCTTTATCTCCTCTGCATAGGGGACCATGATAAAAGCAGCCTTCCCTCTTAACAAAATTAAAGGAAAAGCTTGTTATGGGGAGTTAAGCTGTTCTGCTTATATTAGTGGGCTATCATTAAAAAAAAATCAGCAGAGAAGCCTGAATATATCACTTTATATGCTTGGCCTCAACCCTCAGCCCACCCTCCCTTTTCATGTCTGGCTGGCTGACAAGACTTTCAGATAAATAACAGCAGTACTGTTCACTTTCCAATTTCTGAACTCCTTTTCCAAGCCAAGATAGGAGCCCCCACTGGTTAAAGAATTTCTCCTTCCTGCTGCTGTCTTCCCCACCTCCTTCTCAACTCCAGTCCAAAGCCCTCGGCTGCATTCAGAAGGACACTTCCTGCTCTTGGCTTCCACCACCGGTGCCTTCAGACCAGCTGTTTTTCAGGCCATCTGCTGCTATTAATGGGAGGGGGACACAGTTCACACCACACCCTGAGATATGTCAGAGTTTGCATTCTATTTCCTCCCCCCCCCCGCCCCACCAATCCTCTCCAGTCTCTCACACATCATCTTGTGTTTCCTTCAAGCAATACAAATTTTGTTTGGGGCCTTCCTTGCACCGTCGCACTTCCTGGACATGGTCTTTGTCCTTCCTTCCTCCGTACTGGGATCTTTTTAATTAATTATTTTCACAGGGGCTTATTTCACCACTTCACCTGGGTGCCTTAGATAGCTTGTTATATACTTTCCGGCTCAGAAAAAGCTAAAACTGCCAACCACATTTTCTTCAAGGCCACTTTTTCATGATCCAGTCTCAAGGTACCGCACTCTCCTTTTGGTAAAAACCCCACCCACACTTTTGCAAGGTCACTTGCAAGCAAAGATAAAATTGCAATATTTTAAGCAAAAATGAAAACACCACACGGACTGAGTTGTGACTTGTGGGTTGGAATCTGGCTGCCCATATGAGCTACTACAGCCGATGTGAGTGCCTGGGAAGTTGTGGATGAAGCCATCTGTAAGTTGTGGATGAAGCCATGAAACCACCTTATAGAGAATTGCAACACTGGTCCATCTAGCAGCCTGGTATTCTCCGGCTGGCAGCAGCAGGTCATGGTCCTTCCCCACATGCTACTGCCTGAGAGCCTTTTGATACCGAAGTGGGGGCGTTTGGCATACGAAAGGGGTGATCTAGCCCTACTGTGAAGCTCCTCCCCACCCTGCCCAGTCCAGAAAGACCCATGAAACCGAGTGCTCACCCTGGAGAGATCCCAATTCACAATCCTTACAGCTGTCCTGGTGCTTGGGAGCAAAGGCGAGGAGGTGGATTAACGATTGCAGGAGTAAGTAAACTGCATGTTCTTGCTGGGGGGGGGGGGAGAGAGACACCTTTCGCCCAGAGGTCCATAAAAGCCTGCAAAGAGCTGCTTAGAAGGCAGTTGTGCACATTCAGCATTGCATTTCGAAGGAGGATTTTTTTAAGAAGAGGACTGCAATTTGGGGAGGGCAAATGCATATGTATGGGAATTACGCAAATATGTGTTCCAAGGCAGCAAGGGAAGAAATCCTAAATATAACATTACACGAGTGGTATAGAAATCCAGAGGGAGTGGCTGGGTTGTGGGGGGGGGGAGGTTTTTCCTGCTTTTGCAATCCCTCATTTGACAAAAATCACTTAACCCCTGCCTGGCACAGGTAAAAGAAGACTGCAACATCTCCCCCCTCATCCTGAGAGTTCTTCTTACACAACCCATCCGAGATATGCAGAACATGGCCAGAAGTTGCCCCCGCTGCCACCCACTGTTCCTTCCTCAGCGTCACCTTTGATTCCGTAGGAGAAGAAACTCCTGACCCCGACAATGGTATCCGCAGTAGCCCTAGGAAACACCATGCGTGACCTGAGAGCAAATAGGAGTGGCCCAGCCCTCTTCTCTCCCCCCACCCACCCACCCGAGAGCAGAAAAGGAAAGTGACATCATTGTGTTTGCGCATGAGGCAGAGGGAAAATAGCGCCGCTCAGAAAGCTAGCTCTCCAGTGCGCTCAAATACGTAGTGAAGGGACAGAAAAAGAGAGGGAGGGAGAGAGAATACTTGCCTCACTTTGCCAGGTATGGAGAGAGTATGCCGAACACTTCTAACTATGTGCCAGTGCTCCGTTTCCCAACCAGCGATGGACTTCGACAAACATAAGTGTGCTGTGTCATAAGGGAAGGAATTCAGCTTGTATTTACTTTATCTGCACACCCAAGGAAGTATCTGTGCTATCCCATCTCTGAAGCTTTTCAGTGCCATTGCTGACACCAGAGGGTGTGTGTGTGTGTGTGTGCGCGCGCGCGCATATACACACTTCACTGCTCCTGTTTCATTTCAAGGCTGAGGCTGAAGGCTAGGCAGAAAATGGAGCTCACATACCAGGGCCATATAAAGAAGCCTTGTAAGACTGCCATGAATTCCTACCTGCCAAGATACTGGAGCCTGGGTGGGGAGGGGGAGTGAGGACACCATGGAAACCGACATCTCCAGCCCACTCCTCACCACATGACTCTTAAATTGGGCCAATTTGTTTCCCCGGCTGTCAGCCAATCAAAGCAGGATTTTGTGAGCCAAACGACCTAACTCATGGCACAGAACAACAAGGTGTTAGCCTTCAAGCATCTTTTCAGTCTCACATCTTTGTTCTCCAGCAGGCAACTCCATCTTAAGCACTTTCAGAAGTAAAGCTCAGCAAGGAAAAGGCTGCCAACGCTAAAATTGAACAGTTGCTTTCTGTTTCTCTCTCCCCCCCCCCAAAAAAAACTCTCTTTCTCTGTTGCAACATCCTTAAAAAATAACAGGAGCCTGACAAAAAGGGTTACACCCTGCATTGAAAAGATGACCACTCCTCTTTGCAAAGTGAAGCACCATTCGTCCCACCCATTATGAGACAAGCATTTCAGACCAGACCATTTACTTAGCTAACCAACTCTGTCCTCCAGTAAAAAGAGGGAATGGAGCAAGTCTAGGTGGTTTTAAAGCGTGACGTTTGCTTGATTGGCATATGTCTGGCGTAACAGCTTATGCACATGCTTTTGATGTAAATACAAATGCTTCCACGAAGAGCTTGGTAATGCTTATTCAATGGGGGGGGTGAGAGAGAAGCAAACAAACAAACATACATACATACAAGCAGGTTTGAAATTAAATAATGCATGTAATACATTGCTTTGAAATAGCTGGAAGAAGAACCTGTATTGAGCACTGGCAATGCCAACTACAGCAAGTTTATCCAGATTATGCATTCTTATATATTTAAGAGATCACCACTGCAAGCTTTCAAATCAGCTGAATTTCCTTAACTATTATTAAAGTATGCATCTTGTCCGTAGAGAGGGAAATGTTAAGAGAATGAGAATGCTGCACAAAGCAATACAAGGCGAGGACGCTTCATCTGCTTTTTTAATTAAGTGTTTGGCTCCCCTCCTTCCACTTTTCACTTTTAAAAAAGTTCATCAGAAGTTCTAAGGACAGCGAGCCAAATAAGAATTGGTTCTTTCTGCATATGAACTTCCAGCAATTACACCAGCTCATGGCACCCAGGTCAGTACTCTCACATTTCCACAAGCTTATATTGAGACTAGTAGCACAGTTACCAGGCTGGATCTCAAATATTCATCACTAGTAGTCTAAACGCAAACTTCTCCCTTTGTCAACTCCAGCCAGGGCTACCTTAATGGAAAGGTGGGGGTTGGGGGGAGTGCCAGTCAGAAACCATCTGTTCCCCCCACCCTAAAAAAAAAAAAAATCTCCATTGCATGAGCAATATTGTGGCAAGTGACAGTTCCATACCATTATTACCAGAACAATAATGGTTGTAGCACAATTAAGACCGAGAAAGTGTCATCAGAACCTTAACCCTTTGCTGGCCGATCTCTCCCCTCACAGACACCCAGGCAAATAACTGAGTGACAAACTAGTACAGCACAACTCCCAATTCAACCTGCTGTTTTTGTTTCCCTCTCAAACCTCGCGCCCCCCCCCCAATATTTGAGCCAACAGTTTTCCCCAATGTCAATTTACACTGCTTAACATGCATTATCTGAAGAGGATTCCCCTTAGCAGGACTGAGAAGGTCCCAATAGTATGTTTTCCTTGGCTAGGTGAAGAAAGAAACCCCTTTTCCCCCTTCTTTATTTGCCCTCGGTGAAAAACCCGCGCCTCCAATAAGAGCCCAAACACTTCTTTAGATTTTTTTTCTTTAAAAAAGCAAACCAACCCCAAACCCCCTCCCCCAAGACAAAACGCAGTGCCTGGACGGGACAGCACAAGGGACCCCGATTATTTTTCTTTAGGTTTGTTTCGAGAAGAAACTAAAGAGGCACAGACCTGAGCAGGAGCTGCAGAGCAGAAGAAATTTCCTCTCCCTTATAAAGGTCCCCCTCTCTTTTTTCCTCTGGCTCTCACTCACTTACCCACACATTCACACACACACACACACACAAAATCCGGGTGCCTCATCCACACGCACACACTCCCCGTCTCCCCTCATCAGCTCTATGCAGTTCTCAGGAAATGAATGGGGGGGGGATGGAAAGGGAGGGGAGGGGGGGGCCAACACAGAGAACTGTTGTACTTGCAAATGACTTACCCGGATCACATGATGTGCTAAATGTAGGGTGGGCCGGTGGGTGGAGGCTCCCGAAACAAGAGAGGGCACAATGTAGCGCAGCAGCGGAACCTTACCGGGGACGCATCGGATTGCATTGGGGCCCCGGTGAGGGTGGGCCGATGGGAGGGGAGAGAAAGCGGTGTGGGGGGGGGGGGAGAGGAGAGATGCGATGCGGCAGAGGCGGCTTCTCTGCCTCTCTCTCCTTGCCCTCAAGGTGGGGGTGGGCGGAGGAGGAGGAGGAGGGCGGTGGGGCTGGGCGGGGAGGAGGCACCACAAACCCAAACAAAAGCCCCCCCGCCCCACGGCCTCCCTCCCTCCCTTGCTCCACCCAAAAGGTGGCGGGGGTGGGGTCGGGTGGGGGAAGAATGCAATGCAAGCGCGGCTTGGAATGCAGGCGACGGCTCCAACCCCAGAGGAAGGGCTTTACTGCCTGGGGAGGGCAGAGCCCCCCCCCCAACCATCAATGGGCGGAGAGGGAGGAGGAGGAGGGGGCGCGTGGGCGGCGGCATCTGGGTCCCCGGTGCCCGGGCGGAGGTGGGAGGGTGCCAGGGAAACGCCCACCCGAGGAGGCTGCGGGGGAAACGCCCGGCTCCTCCGCCCAGCCTCGGCCTCCCGGTTGCATGCGAAGGGCGGCGGCGGAGGAGAGGAGAGCCAGGGGTGGGCGGAGGGGCAGCGCCGAGGAGGAGGGCACTGGACGGCCGGCTGGCTGGAGCCGCAGGCCGCGAGGGGAGCGGAGGCGCGCGCCTCTCCGGAGAGGGCTCCCCGGGCGCGCTCGGCCCCAAGCAGCCTCCGCCAAGGGGCGAGCGGCCCTTCTCTGCAAGCGGGGGAAGGGCAGCCGAGGCATCCGCGGGGAAGCCGCCCGTCACCCTCGCCAGGGGGTCACGCCGCTTCCCTCGGCGTTGGGTGCGAGAAGAGCCGACCTAACCAAAGGACTGCGCTGAGGCAAGTGCCTCGGGCGGCAGAATCGCCTGGGACGGTAGACCCCATGTCTACAATTTGTACCTCAGGTCACATACGCTTCAGGCTACACACACCTCAGGTTACAGACTCCGCTAATCCAGAAATAGTGCTTCAGGTTAAGAACTTTGCTTCAGGACAAGAACAGAAATCGCGCGGCGGCAGCAGCAGGAGGCCCCATGAGCTAAAGTGGTGCTTCAGGTTAAGAACAGTTTCAGGTTAAGAACGGACCTCCGGAACGAATTAAGTACTTAACCCGAAGTACCACTTTATTTTCATTCCCTGCCTCGATCTGCCCTCAGCCCATTTTTTTCTGGTGGGAGGGGGGTGCCATTTGGGGGTCCGCCAAAGTGCCTTGGGGGCAGGCCCTGGGTGCGAGTGGCTCGCCCTGGGCTCCAGAGTCGTCCTCGGAATCGCCAGCCTTCTTAGGTGCGTTCTTAGGTCCATGTGTTACAGACCTGAAGGGCTGCAAAGGGGTAAGGGGGCTTTGCCTCCTGGCAGGGCCGGCCCACCCATGCGGCAAGGTGGGGCAACTGCCTCAAGCAGCAGATTCCAGGGGGCAGCAGGTCCAGTCTCCAAGCAATGCATTCCTTGCTGCCGCAGCCACAATACCAGCCGCGGTGTGCTGCTTGTCAGCTGGATCGGCCATCCCTTCCGCCCCATGCCGCTTCTGCTGCGGCCTCTTGGCAAACAGGAGGCATCGCTGGTCTTCTGCCCTTGTTCCCGAGGTTGATATTTATTTCCCTCTTGTTCCTGATGTAGAACTTCATTTGCCCCTTTTTCCCTGGGAGGTGCAATTTTGTGGTTCTCACATGCCAAAATGTCGGTCCAGCCCCAAACTCTGCCCATTCACATCTGCCCCAGGAAGGCCTGTGGGGCCAGCTCTCTCCATGGGGAGACTGCTTGATCCCACAGGAAGTGGGATCCTCTGAAGGCAGGTAATTTACTCTCAGCACTCCGAAAGTTAAGTTCCTTTATTAAACTACCTCTTCACCCACCAAGAAGGAAGCTCCAGAGCATTTACAAGATTACCATTACATAATAAAATATCCATAAAAACAATGCAAAGCTTGTGGGGGAGGGGTGGGGGGTAAGAACGAAAGTGACTAGTATACTTCCATTTTTTAATTAAAGGAAAGCTAAATATATACAGTATATATGAGACGTGAAAGAAGAAGAAAATTGTTCTGTAAGTGGTGGTTTAAAAGTTTTGCCGATTGCAGAGTGAGATGATCTGGTAATCGATTCAGCTGGCAAAGCTATCCTAGGACAGCTTGTGCAAGTGAGGAAATGTTTTCAGAAAAATGATCAAGTAACCGATACTAGGCATTCTGCAGTTAAAAAGCAGGCAATAGATGGTGAAATGGTGCCATCTGCAAAGTGAATAGGCATACTGGCTGCACCCAGGGCAGAAGGGCAAAGTGTATTTCTGTTTTGTTGGATTGTTGTCTTAATATATTTTAAAATAATGAAGCAATATATTAAGCCTAAAGAGGCAAGGCTGGTGGTTACTAGGAAGAGAGCCTTCTCAGTGGTAGCTCCCTGGTTGTGGAATGCTCTCCCTAGAAAGGCTCGTCTGTAGCCTACATTTGGATCCTTTGGATTTTGTAGTGAAAATCTTTTTTATTCTTCTGGGCCTTTTAATAAAGCCAGTGGAATCAGAGAACTATTTTGTTTCCCCCTTTTTATTGATCTTATGCTGCTTCATGATAGTTTTAAGCTTTTACACTGAGCTTTTGTGCTGGTAGAAGGGTTTTTAATATATTGATATATTTTTTTGGTTTGATAGTTTTTAAGTTCACTTTTTAAATTGGTGAACCACCGAATGGCTTGGTTGATTGGATGGTGTATGAAAACCAAAAACGAATGAGCATTTTAAATCTACTGAGATGTTTTCTTGTGGTTCTACTGAAATTTAAGCCTTGTGGCCTGGCTGTACTTGGTTTAAAATGGCACATGAGAAAGCAACCCTATTGAAGCTAAGAAGTACTGGGATAGGCTGGTGCCCATGAACCTCACACATGTTGTCCTAAGCTCCCCAGAGCACAGATGGGGCATAACACCAGTTTATACACCAGCTTTAGCCCAGTCTCTGACCTTTGTGTGGCCCACTTTCATTCCTCTAGCATTGCAAAATATGTACAAAGCTGCCTGGCTCCAGAGTGTGGAAAGAATATGATCCCTGGGTGGTCAGGCATTGGCATGCGTCTCCTCCCTTCACAGCCCTTGATGATGATGTGGGGAGTAAATGGGGTGTAGCCAGAGAGCAGCTGCGTTCTGGTCAACTCCAGCTGTTAAGCGATTCCTGAAAATGCAGGCCGCAGCCAGTGCTTTAAACGGAGTTGCACACTGAATTGGTCCCTGACCAAATGCAGGCTGTGTACATGGCACAATGCCACGAATATTGCCTTGCACCCCAGAAACCACTGGAGCTCATCTGGAGGATCCAGCAGCTCTCATAAGAAAAGGACTGTTTGCATTGATTTAGAAAAGACCCACAGACAATATTCTTGTTTGTTCCAAACAGCAGCCACAGTGGCAAAATCAGAAGCTGGCCAAAATGGGGAAATGAAAGGGTGCATCTATTAAAATATGATTTGGGGGAAGTGTGCTTTTGTTCCTATTGTACAAAATACTGTGAAAGCCCCAGGGCCGTCCCAACCATAGAGGCAAATCAGGTAACTGCCTGGAGTTACGGAATTCCAGAGGCGCCAGCTCAGTTATGTAAATCTTTTGGAGACTTGTTGCCTGTGCTTTCGGAGAGAAAGTGATTAGTGGCAGCTTAGCAAACTCTGGGCTGGTTGGTATCCCCTTGTTTTCCAGGAGATGCCATCAGAAGGCCTCCTGAGCTTTGGAGGGCACATAGCTCAGAGGCAGAGCACATGCTTGCATTCAGAAGGGCCTGTATCTAACCCCTGACACCTCCAGTTTGAAGGAGGCAGAGAGCAGGTGATAGCAGAAGACAATGACTGGTCTAGAAGCATAAAGAGTAAAGGGAAGCCTCCCTTCGACACCAGTGCATAGACACACTCTTGGCAGAGAAATATGCTTCCCTTAGAGTGGCAGAAGAGCCACCATATTCATGAGGTACTCAGTAAAAAAGACATAAGTGAAAGACATAAACATTTGGTAAAAGAAGCACCCTTGGCATTTGAAGAAACATCACCTTATATCCCTGCTCTTATATAACCAAGGTCTTCAGGGGAGTTGTCCATGGCTTGGGTCCACCAGGAGCCATCAGTTTTGTGGGCTCAATTCAGTGGAGCTCCATCCCAGCTGAGATCAGTCTGGCCTCCTTCCTGTTGAACTTTCAGTGCTTGGTGAATGCCTTTCTGTTTCCGCAGGCATTTCAAGCAAGTTTTCCCAATGTAAAGGTTCATTTCAGCTGATTTCATTGTATCTTTCGTAACCCTACCATACGACCCCTTAGAGACTATGGCATGTATACATTGTTGAAATAAATAAATAAAATAAACCAGGGAGGGAGCCAATGAACTCACGCTGATGGGACGTGTCCCCAACATATGGCCTGGAATCAGTATGCAGAAATCATGAAAAACTTTGCAACAGCCATCCCCTGCTCCCATCCGCCCCTGGGGCCCAGCCAGGAACCCCCACTACTGCAGATCCCCAGGCAAGCCTACAGAGGTTTGCATCTCAACATCTCAAAAGCAAAAATGGGGTATCTTTTCACGCTGCTTCTTGTAATTCACTTCCATATGGCTGCTTTTGGCACGAGCTTGTTACATCGGCAGCTGTTTGTGTCTCCGGCTTTCAACTCCATTTTTGGCAAGACTAAAGAAAGGGAGGTTAACAAACCAAGGGAAGGGAAAGCAGCAGCGATACAAAAATATACCGTGCATGCCTACCCCTCGCAGGATAAAATAGGGCTTTAATGCTGAACCGTACAAAGTTCAGGGTGCAACTTCTTACTTACAAAGCAAATACAAAATGTTACGACATCAACAGGAGAGCTGTATTTTCACAGGTATTAAATAATCTTAACTACCGCTGCTGTACTTCCAGTGGAACCACTGCAGTATACAGTTGCCTCGTTCCCAAGAATCCTGCCCAGAAATCTTGCAGTGTGCCAGAATCAAGTCCTGTGAGGTCTGGCTCAGATCACCCAGCCCCCATAAAGTTATCCTCCAAGAGAGGCAGTCTCAGTGTCACTGTTTCCTCTGGGAGCCACAACCTCCCACTCCCAGGC